CGGGAGTTGGAACCCAGGGAGCCGCGAAGAAGGCACCGGAGAAGAGACGAGCAGACACCCCAATGAAGAAGATCATGTCCCCACCAAAGAGCCAAAAGGCCCTGCAAGCCAGTGTCCCGGAGGAAGATCCAGATTAGTCAAGCAAAGAGGAGGATCAGCCAGTGGGAAATGAGCAGGGCCTGCAATGAGCGGCGCAGAACAGAAGGTCCCAAACCCCGAGGTGCCAAAAACAGTGAGCAGATACCCCTCCCTCTTTTTTGTGACTGTGACTATCCAGAACCCAGAGCTGGGTACCCACGTAAGAGGACGGGGTCTGATAGACTCGGGATGCGACCGAGACTTAATCAACCCCTCGCTTGTAATGGGGTTGGGGGCAAAAATTATCCAGCTGCCTGATCCCATTGTGTTTCCCCATATGGATGGGTCAGCTATGAAGGACCCTTGTAAGTATGAGACTGCCTTTACGAATGGGAACGGGAGCACTTTGGGAGCATAGAACTTTTGTAATCACCTCAGCTGCCCATTTCCCTATGGTGCTAGGTAGCCCGTGGCTCTACGATCATGATCCTTATATTTTGTGGGATGAGGGGGTGGTTAAATTCATTTCCCCTAAATGCCAGATGCATGTTTGGGAGGAACCGTGGCCCCCCCTCCTGACGAACCAATACGGGCTTGCTTGGCTAAGGAGGAGCTGAACTCCATTCCGTTGGAGTACCAGGACCTTGAAACAGATATTTGAGGAGGAGGAGGATGAATTGCCCCCTCACAGACACTCAGACTGTGCTATCGAATTAATCCCAGACAAGAAATTACCTAAAGGTAAACTTTATGCGATGAGTCCTTGGGAAAAGGAGGAATTGCATAAATTCACTGACAAAAACTTGGCGCGTGGGTTCATCCCCCCAGCGTCCTCCCGTTTTGCGGCTCCGGTCTTATTCCAGAAAAAAAAAGGATGGTGGGTTGAGGTTGTGCACGGACTACAGGAGTTTGAATGCTGTTTCTACCACCAATGCATACCCCCTGCCTCTCATGAAGGATCTCCTAGCCGAAGTGGCTAAGGTGAAAATCTTCTCCAAACTCAACCTCAGGGATACTTACTTCTGTGTCCACATAAAAGCAGGGGATGAGTATAAGACTGCTTTTAACACTCCATTGGGGCAGTTCAAGTATCGGGTGATGCTGTTCAGGCTCCAAGGGGCCCTGGGGTCTTCATGAACCTCATCAATGAAGTGTTGCACAAGCACCTGTTTAATGGAGTTATTGTTTACCTGGATGATATTTTGATTTATTCCCGGATAAACCTTCTCATGTCAAACTGGTGCGGGAGGTCCTGCACACGTTGCACAAGCACAAACTGTTTGCTAAACTGTCAAAGTGTGAGTTTCAGTGCTCTGAAATAGACTTCCTTGGTTACCACATTTCCCCCAGGGGTTTGGAAATGGACCCGGCCAAGGTTCGGGTTGTAGTGGGGTGGGAATCTCCTTGAACCGGAGGCAACTCCAAGCATTCCTCAGATTTGTCAATTTCTACCAGTCCCTTCTCGCAAACTTTGCTCAGGTGAGCTTACCACTCATGGATTTATTGAGGACCAAGGGAAAGGGTCCGGATTGCACCTGCCCTGGGGCTAAATTGAACTGGAGTAACGAATGTCAGGAGTTGGAATATAGTCCACCTGGTGCTCTACATCAGGAAACAGGTGGCCCCAGGTCACAACGAGGTTCTGGACGCAAAAAATGGCAGTTTCTCGGGGGTCCCATCGAAGGTAGCATCCAGGGGCTCCGTAGGTCAATGCACTTCCCGGCCGGGTTGTGCAGGCACCACATTCCCTGGAGGTCCCCGGGGAGGGTTTCTTACTGGGGTGGGCTGGACGCGCAACAGCTGTTGTGCCGGCACCTGGTGCTGTACTTCCCTCTGCACTGCCGCCGCTACCATCTCTGGTAGTTTTTTTTAAAGAATTCTTGATCATCTGCATCATCTTGTCATAGCCCCATTGGAGTAGGTACAATCGGATACCTATGAATTCCTCGGGGTCCTCGGCCCCTCCCGTGGCTCCCTCTCCCTCTCCCTCCAGTTCATAGTCCACAGTCCGGGGAGGCTGATCATAATATGGCTTGCCCTACGCGGACCAGCGGGTGAAGGAAGAGTTCAGGTCTCATGCGAGTCCACACTGAATCAGCCCCAGCGTGGGCCCCGTAACCTGGTGGTCACTCTGGCCTTCTCCCCTCCGAAAGGTTCCAGGAGAAGTTCTGCTCTGGCCATTTCCGCATCCCGTGGTTCGGTCTCGGTTTCAGGGTTCATATCCCCGTAGAGGATTTGGCTTGCCTCCTCGAGGGTGATCTCCTTGCTGTCGCTCATCTCAGCATGAGAGATTCAGGTCGAGTGATGAAAGATTCCTGACACTTTGTCAGGCTCCTCAGTCAGGTCACACCACACAGGGCTTCATAAGAAGATAACTGTTTATTAGTGGTTCCAGTACTAAAGAACACATGTACAGATTGTGTCAGGAATAGCTGTCAGTATAAGGGCCTCTGACTTATAGTGAAATCAAAACACCCCCCTGTGAGGGTAAGCCAATGGTTATAGTTCACGTGCATGGGCACAAGCAAGCGGGCAAGCGGGCAAAGCGTAAAAGCTGTTAACATTCCCAGCCGAGTAAAGCACAGCTGGAGACTGCAAGGTCAAGCATGAGATAGCGCACAGAAGCTGGACAGTGAAGAGCTGAGAATGAAGAAGGAGGTTCACCCCTCCACATTCCAGATCTATGACAGGGCTACCTAACAATGCCTCCTTAACTATTTATGTATTTATTTATTGAATTCAATTTATACCCCACCCTCCCTGCAATGCGGGCTCAGGGCGGCTTACATAGGGGCAAACGCCAATATAAAACATAATTAAAACCATTTAAAATCCAACAGTACAAAACATTCATAATGAGTTACTGACTAAAGTGCTCTAGGTGTTCTACATGAAATTTCAGAGATGGCATATTTGAACTGTTCAGCATCATCTGCTCCAGGGAAGCATTGATGTTCCCTCATCCAGGGCCAGGTGAAGATGGAATAATGTTGATGGTAGTGGCGGCTTCTACTCATACGCCTGGTGGAAGAGCTCCGTCTTACAGGCCCTGCGGAACTGCACAAGGTCCCGCAGGGCCCGGATCTCCTCCGGGAGCTCGTTCCACCAGATAGGAGCCGCCACCGAGAAAGCCCTGGCCCTGGTAGCAGCCAGCCTGACCTCTTTGGGACCTGGCACTGCCAGGAGATGTTGGGTCCCGGACCGAAGTGCTCGCAGGGGAACATATGAGGAAAGGCGGTCCCTTAGGTAAGCTGGACCCAGACCATGTAGGGCTTTAAAGGTAAGAACCAGCACTTTGAAACGAATCCGGTAGAGGCCCAAGTCACAAATATTGCCAGACTGGCATTTTTCCACCTACGCCAAGCACTGCAATTAGCCCCTTTCCTGTTGCATCCTGACATAGCCACAGTAATCCATGCGATGGTCACCTCCAGACTAGACTACTGTAACTTGCTCTATGCTGGCCTTCCCTTGAGTCTGACCCGGAAGCTCCAGCTGATCCAGAATGCAGCGGCACGAGTCCTGACGGGAACGCCACAGATGGCACATATATAACCTGTGCTGCGCCAGCTACACTGGCTTCCAGTGGAGTACCAAGTCAGATTTAAGGTGTTGCTATTGACCTTTAAGGCCTTGAGTGGTCTGAGACCGGCATATCTTCGGGACCGTCTCCTCTGGTGTGTCCCTGGGAGAACATTACGCTCTGCTGAGAGTAATCTGCTGGTGATCCCTGGCCCCAAAGACATCCAGCTGTCCTCGACCAGAGCCGGGGCCTTTTTGGCCCTGGCTCCAATCTGGTGGAACTCTCTGCCAACTCCCATCAGGGCCCTGCAGGGTTGCCAACCTCCAGATAGAAATGGGAGATCTCCTGTTATTGCAATTCCGCAGGGCCTGTAAGGCAGGGATGTTCTGCCAGACTTTTGGTTGAGGACAGCAACCGTTTCCATCATAGCTGGCACCCTCCTCTTTTCTTCCATCTTGCCCACTTTGATATTCTCCTTAACCTGCCCATGAGATGGAAGAACAGTCCCGAGTAGGTTTCTGATCAAATTAAAAATGCCATCGGAAGACTGTCAAACTTTAGGATGTACTGATTGTTGATTTTAAACTGTATTTTTGTATATTAATTTATTGTAAATTGCCCAGAACCCTGTATACTCAGGGATGGGGCAATTCAGAAATATTATTATTACTATTATTACTATTATTACTATTATTATTACTATTATTATTATTACTATTATTATTATTACTATTATTATTAATAATAGTAATAATAGTAATAGTAATAACAACAGCAGCAGCAGCAACAACCCCCAATGTTTGGGTTTTTTTCTTTTCAGATTTTTCTGCAAACTGAGAGGGTCATCCACATTTGCAGAAAAGCCTGTGTAAGGTGAATGTGCACCCTATCTGCAGATTTAGATATCTGCACATAGGGGACACTTGGGAATTAGCTATATAGAGTAGCAATTTCCACAAAGAAAGTTCAGTGTGGCAATTGAATTTAGGGCTGTTGAGGCAAAAGGTATAAATATTACAATTGGTGCAATGCTCAACCAGAATGCTCAGTTGATGGATGTGACACTACAGGGTGGCTTACATTAGGCCTTCTGAACAGCTGAGGTTTTATTAATATGGAAGCCTTTGTTATCTTCCATGTGTGCTTTGACACATATAGGGATACAAGGGAGCAGCAGACATACTTCTGGCTTATCATCATCATCATAATCAATCACCAACCAAATTTATATCTCGCTCCCTCCCCTCTGAATGGGACTCGGGGCAGCACAAATGATAGAATCCAGCCGCAGGGTTGCTAGATAACTCTTAATCAGCCCCAGAGCTCCAGAAACTCCTGGAGGAAAAAATGTCCAGATGACGGTCCCAATGAGCATCAAGGAGGGAACACAGTTACTGACCGGCTCTGAAAGGAGGCAGGTGGGCCTGGATGTAGACATGTCTGGTAGAGGTATGGTTCCAGGTGGACATGTCTTGCTTCTGCAATATCCCTGGCTACTTCATACATCCCATCTTGGATGCCTGCATGGAGCAAGAATGTTATGAAAGAGCAACACGAGTGGGGCAGTAGTGAGGCATTACGTTTTCTGAGTCATGAGTATCTCATATTCTAATAGCCAAGCTGGCCAAATCTTTGGATACTTAAATCCAGTAACTGGAGCTGTGAACAGGCAAGACAGTTCTCTCTACAAACCTGAAGAGGACCCCAGGTTTTTCTGCAATCTAAAAAAACCATTGGTGGTTTTAAAAATCTGAAAATAATAAAAAGAATGCCTATAGCTTTAAGCAATGGCCTCTCTCAGTGGCTGTTGCTAAGCAACCATGCAAGTGGGCCTGGACCAGTGGCCAGCACCACACAATTGGGTCACAGTTTTCCTAGGCAGAGGCTGTGGGGATGAGGGGGGGAGGGAAAGCTGAAGAGAAAGGGGCAGATAAAGGTAGGTTTGCTGTTGAGTAGGAAGGGTTGCCAGCTTAAGGTTAGGAATTACCTGGAGATTCGGGGACTGGACCATGGGGAGGGTGGGATTTGAGTTGGGGAGGGACATCTGAAGGGTATAATGCCAATAGATTCCACCCACTAAAGCAGCCATTTCCTCCAGGTGGGGGCTAGAGATCATCCGGAATTATAACTGCTCTCCAGATGACAGATCAGTGCCCCTGGAGAAAATGGCTGCTTTGGAATGTGGACACTATGGCATGACACCTTCTGAGGTCACTTCTCTCTAGGGTTGCCAAACTCCAGATAGAAATGGGAGATCTCCTGTTATTGCAATTAATCTCCAGACAACCAAGATCAGTTCCCTCAGAGAAAATGGCTGCTTTAGAGGGTGTACTCTATGTCATTATATTCTGCTGAGGTCCTTCCTGTCCCCAAACCCTGCCTTCTCCACGCTTCACCCCTAAAATCTCCAGGTACTTCCCAAATCAGACCTGGCAACCCTACTTCCTTCCCCAAATCTCATCCTCCCAAGGCTCCACCCCCAAATCTCCAAGAATTTCCCAACCTGGTGCTGGCTGTCAGACTCCTGAGTCAATCAGTTCTCAACAGCAGTCATTCAGAAGAAGTACAGTTTATTGAGATCTTTATGGCATTCAGGTATCTTAACTGTTTTGTGTTAGAACTGAGGGTAAAGCACGCAAAGCAATTAGAATCATAGAATCATAGAATATTAGCGTTGGAAGGGACTTTGCAGGTCATCTAGTCCAACCCCTGCACTCTTCAGGAGCATAGCCGAAAGATAGCCCTACAACATACCGAAAGAGGGTCGTCCAGCCTCCGCTTGAAAACGTCCAGCGAAGGAGCCTCCACCACCTCTCGAGGTGGTCTGTTCCACTGCTCAACCACTCTTACAGTTAGGACGTTTCTCCTGATATTTAGCCAGTAATGACTCCCTGGTAGTCTCCGCCCATTAGACCTAGTCTTCCACTCATTAGATCTAGTCTTGCAATCAGGAGCAAGAGAAAATAGATCCGCTCCAGCTTCTACATGACAGCCCTTCAGATACTTGAAGACTGCAATCATGTCCCCTCTAAGCCTTCTCTTTCCCAGGCTAAACATACCCAACTCTTTCAGCCTTTCCTCATGAGACTTGGATTCCAACCCTCTCACCATCCTGGTTGCCCTCTTCTGGACACGCTCGAGCTTGTCAACATCCTTCCTAAAATGTGGTGCCCAAAACTGGAAATAGTACTCCAGGTGAGGCCTGACCATAACAGAATAGAGCGGAACTACCACCTCCCTTGATCTGGACACAATGCTTCTGTTAATGCATCCTAAAATTGCATTAGCTTTCTTCACAGCCACATCGCACTGCAGGCTCATGTTTAGTTTGTGATCAACCAGAACAACTAGATACCTTTCACATGTGCAGCTGTCAAGCCAAGCCCCTCCCATTCTATATCTATGCCTTTGATTTTTTGTACCTAAGTGTAGGACTTTGCATTTATCTCTATTGAAATTCATTTTATTCATCTCAGCCCACTGTTCCAGCCTATCTAGATAATTTTGAATCCTGACTCTGTCTTCTTCAGAATTAGCAATCCCACCCAGTTTCGTATAATCAGCCAATTTGATAAGCATTCCCTCTATGTCTTCCTCCAGGTCATTTATAAAAACATTGAACAACACCGGGCCTAGGACCGAGTCCTGTGGCACTCCACCCGAGACTTCCCTCCACGTAGACGCAGA